GGGAGCCATGGGTGCAGGGGTGGGCGGTGGAGGAGGCATGTGTGTGGCTGGGGGGTGGAGCACGCACTCCTACAGGGTTCTTACCATCTGCACTCCCCTGGCAATGCAGGAGCCCCGCTCTGGACCCTGTTCCAGCACACTGGGGACCCCAGGCTGCAGAGGGGAGATTAGATGAGGTGGGGGCACAGCTCAGGTGGGCTGCTGAGACCCCACCCTAGAGCTATGTTCCTGCCCCTCATTGGCTCCCCCATACTGAAGCTCTGAGCCCACATGTCACCCTTTGACGTGGAAACTGACACTCAGAAGAACCCAGAAATCTGAGTCCTGAGTCCCAAGTCTCTCGGAGACACTCTCAGTTTCCTCTCCAGCACCTCAGCCAGCTCATGGCTCCACTGAGCTCCAAATCCATGTGTCATCCCAGCCTGGCTTTGCCACTAAAGCGAAATTCTTAACTTTTCCCCCAAACCTTCCCACTCCTCCGCTCTTCAGCCAGGCTCACCCCCGTGTACCGACTGCTCAAGCCAGGGATTCAACCGCCTCACCATCCTTCTTGAGACAGTTCCACTCATCCAAAGCCACTGGTCCCGCCACCCTGTCCTCAAACACACATGCTGGTCTGGCCCTCTCCATCCCTCTGCCAGGTCAGATCCTCATGTCCACTTGCCCAGAGGCTCCAGCTGCCATTCCTGGTCCCCTCCACATGCTCCGCTCACCCTGTGTGCTTAGCCTGGCCCACTCCTGGGCCCCACCCTCGGTCATGCACAGTCTGGGAGCCATGCCCGCTCCACCTTCCTCCCCACGTCCAGCTGCCTGGCCCTCAGGTGGAAGATTGAGTCATTTTCCCAGAGCTTCCCCGAAAACACACTTGATAAGGTAATCAGGCCTGTGGGTGCCTCCCGGAATCTTTTTCCTTGGTTTTTCCCCCACAGGAGCTTCCATTCATGGTTTGCTGTAACTGCCACTACGGACCCAGACATCTCTCCACTGCCCCACACAGTAAGGGAACCTCAAACCACCAGTGGATCTGGGCAAGGCTTGACCCCTGGCCAGCACCCCCAAAAGCTGCAGCTAAGCTTCATCCCACTTGCTTCATCGCTAGGGTCTTTTGGTCCCCCTACTCAGCTTCCCCAGGCCTCTCCCTTAGTCTCAGAGAGAAGCTTTTGTCCTGTGGTCTGTGAGGATGGGGAGGCCTTAGACCTGGCCTCATGACCTCTGGGTTCTGATGAGCCACAAAACTAGAGCCTTCTGTCACCCATCGGGCACCATTTGAAAAGCACACACTGGCTCGGCCAGGGTGGCTCAGTGGTTGAGCATCGACCTATGAATCTGGAGGTCACGGTTCGATTCCCAGTCAGGGCACATGCCTGGGTTGCAGGCTCCACCCCAGTAGGGGGTGTGCAGGAGGCAGCCAATCAATGACTCTCTCATCATACATGTTTCTCTCTCTCTCCTTCCTTCCCTCTCTCTCTCTCTTCCTCCCTCCTTCTCCCTTCCTCTCTCTGAAATCAATAAAAATATACGAAAAGAAAACCACACACTGACTCCCAGCAGGACCTGCTACTATCCAAGGAACCAGTCCCTCCCCACACAAGGGGCTCACCGGAGGCCTGTTCACCAGCCAGTACGTCTGCTCCTGGCACGCAATGACCAGCCTGTCCCCCTTCCTGCGTTGCTTAGCTGCCCTGGAGGGACGGGTAGGCAGAGTTGGGGTAACATGGTGCCCACCACAGCACCTCCCCTACCCACGCTCAGGCCAGGTCTTGGGCAGGCAGCCAAGCCTGGGCTGTGCCGTTTCTGGTCCCATGGCTGCCAGTGCCCAGCTAAGTGCCTCTGGGCTTCCTGGGCAGTCTGGGCTCTGTGCCCGCTGGGCTTGGGGTCTCACCGCAGCTGTTCTCTTGCCTGCATCACTACCAGGTCCCAAGTGTGGTTGATCTTCCTGTGCAGCAGGTCATAGTGCTCCTGGGGGTGGTGTCAAGGTCTCCAGTGGGTAACCCCTTCCATGCCAAGTTCAGGGGCGAGGCATGGGCCCTCCCCCATCCCCACTGAGACACTACAGGGTATGGTGTGTCTGTGTGTCTGCATTATCCTGGGGCCGGGCCGTGTGCTCTGAGGCAAACCGTGAGGCCCTGGGGACATAAGTGGCGCTTGGGTTCCTCTGGCTGGACTCAGCCTGGGGAGGGCGGTGTCCCACCTTCTCATGGTCGACCAGGGCTCCCTGCTTTCGGATATTCTTCTTGGCTAGGTAGATGGCTGGAAGGACGGAGGACAGGCTGCAGAGGAGCACTCTGCCCCCTCCTTCCCTGTGGCATCACCCAGAGGCCACCAGTCCTGGGAGTTTGTCCCTGGCTAGTCCACCCCTCCTTACTCACCATAGTCCAGCTCAGTAGCTGGCCACAGAGTGCTCGTCCAGAAATAGGGTGTCTGGTGCCATGCGGGAACAAGGGGTGTCTGGGACCTCCTGGGCCTTCTTCACCCCAGGAGCTGCCCCCACACTCTCAGTTCTCTTGGGAAGAGACTGGGCTGGCTGGGGATGGGGTGCTTGAGAATCTGCCTATCTACCTAAAGCCTGGAGGCTCAGCTGACCACCAGCCATTCTTTCCACCTGGAACTGAGCTCCATTCAGCCCTTGGGGCCCTGTTCAGGGGCTGCCTCCCTGCCTCTGAGCTCCAGGAGCCTTCACTCCAGGGAGGGGTGGGGTGGGGCTTCCCAAGCCCTAGATATAGTCACAGTCTATGCTGGGAGGCAGGGACAGAGACTGAAGGAGGCAAGGCCTGACCTGGGTTCCTACTGTGGCCGGGAAGGGCAGGCAGGGGGATCCATCTTGATTGAGGACACACACACATCGAGGTGCAGGGATCCTGTCCCCAGGCCCCGCACAGTCTCCTTCTTGGAGTGGGGGCGTAATGACCAGGGGAAGCTGGCAGAATCCTCCATAGGTACTATCCCTTATGGAGGTCCTGCTGTGGTCCCAGAGAAACTGAAGGCCCCTCCCTTTAACCTGATCTTTTACCACAAGGAAGCTTCCAGTCCAGGCCTTTTGGGGGAGGGACAGTAGCCTACCAGGCCTGCTGTGACATCGCCTCATTTTGCTCCCACCCCAGCCCCACCTCTTCCAGGAATTCCCACTAATTGGGCTGCTGGGTGTGGGGTTCCCACCGGCTCCCAGTTGAGACTGACCTGGAACCTGTAGAGTGTTTCGTCAGGCTGGAGCGCAAGGCTGCGGGGGTCCCGCAGCGGGTACAGGTAGCCATGCCACACCAGGAGGATGCCCAGGTGCAGGGCCTCTGGGGTGGGGTTGGGAGGGTGGGCAGGGTGGTGAATTCTCATCTGGGTAGACTTGAGCAGGGTCTCTGGAGATGAGTTCCCCTTCCCCAACACTTGGCTTGGTCCTGACACTGGTGAGCCCCAGAAGGCCCAGACTCATCAGCCCTGGGACCCCAAGGTGTGCCAGGGTCCAGGAAGGGCAGCAGGGTGACCGACCCCCTTACCCTCCTCTGAGATGCAGTATTTCTGTATCAGCCACTCCACAATGTCGTTGCCTGGGTAGCAGAGGTTGGGTTGGGGGGGCCAAGGCAGGGCCAGCACCCCCACCCCCCACACCCCACACTCACCTGTAACGGCGTGAGGAACCACTGTGATGAGCAGTCGCTGGCTCCGCATCTTCACGCCCTGGTCGGGGTCCTGCATGCTCACGACCATGCGCTCCATCTGGGCAAAGGGCCCTTGAGGGGCTGCCCGGCCGGCCTCCCCCACCCCACATCCTGCCTGCACGGACCAGGCCGGGTTGCCCGGATCAGTGTGCTCAGAGATTAACGCACACAGATGGTGCGATTTCAGGCATTGCAGGCAAAGGGCCGGGGCGGGGGAGGGG